CCTCTCCCTTTTTTCTAGTGTCGTCAGGTTCAGTTCCCTCAAGCGCGCTTCATATCTCATCCCTCGTAACTCTGGGACGAGCCTCATCGCAAACATCTGAACCTTTTCCATTTCCCTTATGTGTTTCTTCAGGCGGGGACTCCATGATGGGCCCCTGTGTGTGTGTGTGTGTGTGTGTGTGTGTGTGTGTGTGTGTGTGTGTGTGTGTGTGTGTACTTTTTTATGTCTCAGTACTTTCGAACATTCACGTGTTCCTTGTCAAAGACTGAATGGAAGGAATAACAAGGAAAGGATGACTAGAGGGAACAGAGCGTGATGCCTGAAGGCGAAAACCAAGATAGGAGAAGAGATCAAAGGACAAGTAATAAAAAGAGTGTTGCCTGCTGTAACCTCCACAAGTGCTGCCCGCTGTAACCTCCACAAGTGCTGCCCGCTGTAACCTCCACAAGTGCTGCCTGCTGTAACCTTCACAAGTGCTGCCTGCTGTAACCTCCACAAGTGCTGCCTGCTGTAACCTCCACAAGTGCTGCCTGCTGTAACCTCCACAAGTGCTGCCTGCTGTAACCTCCACAAGTGCTGCCTGCTGTAACCTCCACAAGTGCTGCCTGCTGTAACCTCCACAAGTGCTGCCTGCTGTAACCTCCACAAGTGCTGCCCGCTGTAACCTCCACAAGTGCTGCCTGCTGTAACCTCAACAAGTGCTGCCTGCTGTAACCTCCACAAGTGCTGCCTGCTGTAACCTCCACAAGTGCTGCCTGCTGTAACCTCCACAAGTGCTGCCTGCTGTAACCTCCACAAGTGCTGCCTGCTGTAACCTCCACAAGTGCTGCCCGCTGTAACCTCCACAAGTGCTGCCTGCTGTAACCTCAACAAGTGCTGCCCGCTGTAATCTACCCAAGTGCTGCCCGCTGTACCGGGCATAAAAGCACGCCTTGATCCACCATTGCGTAACTAATGTGTGTGTGTGTGTGACGGGAGGCTCACTTTACCAGGAAACAGAAGGTTGCAAGGGCAGCGTTGGAGAGGGAGTTGTGGAGTGGGGGGGAGGGAGTGGAGTGGGGGGAATGGAGTGGGGGGGGGGGGAATGGAGTGGGGGGAATGGAGTGGGGGGGATTGGGGTGGGGGGGGGATTATGGAGGAGAGGTTTGGTGAAGGTGGTGAACGGGAGAGAGAGGAAAAGTCCTCTAAGACTCACAAACTCCGTGCTAACTTTGACCCAAATATCACAATAACAAGGTTACCGCGAATAATCAAACCCAATTACGGGCTCACCATAGCCCCGTGCTACACGGACACTTCGTTCTGAGTAGCAGACTCTAATAACAACAAACAACAATAACTCCGTGCTAATTACGAAAGATAAGGTAGCGATAATAACAGCCGAGATTGGTCATTGTTCTCCAGTTAGATATTTCATCTGTTGCCAAGTTATATCCTGATCGCTTTACCTTATGTCTGAAAGATGTAATTTAAGAGGCTTGTGTTTACATCCCACGTAATATATATATAATCTCCACTATCATATTTAAAATCCTCCCTCTACATATTTCCACAAGCCATTTGATTAATCATTGTTGATTCAAGGCGTTGTTAAGTGTATAAATAGAACCACACTTAAATAAAAACAGATATAAAAAAATAAAGAGTCTTTATATGAAGACAAACTGGACAGAGCAAACTATAAAACCAACTAGAAATTCCGGTTTTTCTAGTGCGAGTTTACCACTAGTCATCTTGTTGATGTAAGGACTACCACAGGGCTGAGTCTACCACCAAGGCAGGTACACTTCAGGGAGTGAGAAGAGTCCCCGAGATGTCACACACACACACACACACACACACACACACACACACACACACACACACTCTTCTGTGACTTCTGAAGTCATCCAGGTGTAGTGAAAGTTAGTCTTGGTGAAGCGATAATCAACACTTATGACACACCGCTATTGCTGTGGGTTATAATGGCCCCGCCAGGATAGTCATTATCACCATGAAAACAATTCAGAGGGACGAGAGATTTTTTAGTATTATTATTTTCTACCACAAACGTGGCCACACATTTACAATGCTAACCAGCATATATACATTTCCTTCTGTCCCCCATGGACAGGGCTAGAGATATATTGAACAGTCAACCACAGGCGATTGTCGTGCTTTTAAAATGCTAATCTAATATACAAACATAAATACACGAGAGATGTTGTGAGCAGATATGATGGTCATGGAAGGAAGCGTCGTGGTCAGACCTGGAAGTCGGACCCGGTGTTCACGCGGTCACCAGTTCGTACTCTAGGGTTTCCAAGTTAGCTTCCTTTTTAAAGAAAGGCCTGGTCGAGGACCGGGCCGCGGGGACACTAAGCCCCGAAATCATCTCAAGAAGATGGAGAGTCTTCTTGCGTTACCCTGACAATACTCACGATAAATGATACGTTTCCGTGACTCCAGCGATGACTCTCGCGTCCTCTACTCTAACCATTAGGAAGCTACATCCTGCACTACACACAGAGGTCATACGATTCCCAGATGGTCTCTGGTCACAATGACTCATCTAATAGACTTAACAGATACCACAAGTTGATTTACATTTAGGAACGACGATGGTCGTAGAATAGCATGCGTCCTCTACAGGTACCACTGTAAACACCACATCAACAGACACACCCACAACGGGAAAGTTTCAAGTGCGAATGAAGTGATAAGAGTCGTAGTGGGAGGTCGTGGAAGAGTGAATAAAAAAATAATTACGAAAAATTGGAATCACACGGATAATTGTTGCTCTGAGAGAGAGAGAGAGAGAGAGAGAGAGAGAGAGAGAGAGAGAGAGAGAGAGAGAGAGAGAGAGAGAGAGAGAGAGAGAGAGAGAGAGAGAGAGAGAGAGAGAGAGAGAGAGAGAGCAGAGCAGAGCAGAGCAGAGCAGAGCAGAGCAGAGCACCGTGTAAGGAGTGGAGACCATCTCCATACACAGAGTAGGCCAGCGGAAAAAAAACCCATAAGAGGGCCGACCTTGCAAGCCGGACTAGTTAAACTGATCTATGTTTTACTAGGAAGGGCTCGTCCGCCCACCCGCTCTCTCTCTCCAACTGGCGCATCGTAAAAAAATGTGCACCTGTTTTTGTCCTAAACTTACGAACCCAAGCAGCCCACCTAACCCATCGAGGCCGATGCATAGAAAAAGTCATTACCCAAAGATTGGTCTACATTCTTTACCGTTAAAAATGCGAAGTAAGAAGTATGAGTTGTCAGAGCTTCAATATGTTGGGCTGAAAGTGAACGAGAGACAGGAGAGCCATGCGAACCATTCCTCCTTTTTGTCTCTCTCCTTCTCTTCCACCCTTCTTTTCGCTATTCCCATATTTCTCTCGTTATCTCCTTTCAGTTCTCTATCTTTCGTTCTCACCCCTCTCTCTACCTTCTTTTTTTTCTATATATCTCTCCAATTCTTTTTTCTCATTCCCTTCCTTCGTTTATTTATTTTATTTCGTTGCGTCTATCTCCTTTCCTCTATATCTTTTCAATTTACTATCTTCTTCTCGCAGATTGTATATATCTATCCTCTTCTTATTCTTCCTTCAATATTCTCCTCTCTTATTTATGTATCTCAAACCCCCTTCTAAATATTAATTTCTTCTCTGTCTCTCTCCAACTTTCCTTTTTTCACTGTCTCTGTCCCTCCCTCCCTCCTTCTCTCCCTCACTCCCTCCTTCTCTTGCTCTCATCTCCCTCCCTCCCTGTCTGTCTGTCACCCTCCAATTAACAAGGACGTCTCAAAAATTATGACTTTTCTATAAAACAGTTAAAGAATTACTATGGCATTCAAACCAAGGTTAATATGCCAATTTATTTATAAATCTGGCCCCTCACCGCCTGCGTTCAGGAGGTATGTGTTGACATTGGATTTTTCCTCCCGGAGGTAGCGGCTTCGAGTCACAAACGCACACGTCACAAACACACACGTCACAAACGCACACGTCACAAACACACACGTCACAAACGCACACGTCACAAACCCGAAACGTCTGCCCGAAACGCTTTGCGTAATAGTGTCTTTAGGCATTGTATGTACCAGCTCTATCTATAAACCTAGCAATTTTTGTAAAAATCTCTTGTATGTATGTACCTTACCTGAATAAACATTTATTTATTATTTATTTATAAACACACACGTCACAAACACAGGTCCTCGCAGCCGAGCGGTCAACGTTTTGGGGTAATAGTCCTTAAGCAGGCGATGAGTCACAATAACGTGGCTGAAGTATGTTGACCAGACCACACACTAGAAATTGAAGGGACGACGACGTTTCGGTCCGTCCTGGACCATTCTCAAGTCGACTTGAGAATGGTCCAGGACGGACCGAAACGTCGTCGTCCCTTCAATTTCTAGTGTGTGGTCTGGTCAAAATAGTCCTTAAGGGCGCGGGTTCGATCCCCGGTCGAGGCAGAAACAAATGGTTAGAGTTTCTTGCACCTGATGCTTGAGAGTTAGACTGCTTCTACGACCTGAAACCTAAGGATGTGTGCGCGCGTGCATGCGAAATATGTAGTAGATATGATAGAGTAAAAATGGGTAGGGAGTCAGTGCACAAGACAGCCGACGGTTAGACAGGCGGGGTCCAAGAGCTGCAGGCACACATAGCGCATAAGGGTCGTAGCGCCTAGGAGCGTTGCGTAAATCTGACGCGAGAAGCGTATAGTCGCTCCCATTGTGATGTATTAATCTGTTTAATATGTAACAATGTTTTTCCAATAAGTCAGAATTCATCGGTTATCAATACGTGGCCGCCGTGGAACTCAGAGTCAAGAACGCTCGGAGATGCAGCATAAATATTTTAATCCTCTTGGAAAAGGTCTTGTATTTACACAGACTCGTCGATATAAAGTATAGCTTTCATACAACAAAGTCTAATCATTCTCATTTTTTCTGCCCGAAAATGAACATAATTCTCGATCTATTAACACACAAAATTCTTATATTTTGCTACCGATCCGAGGGTACTCACCTAAGGCACAGCGTACCGACGGAGGCGGTGTCGGGGGAGGTGGGTGAGGCGCAGAAGCGGATACCACAGCAGTAGTCGCACCTCACACCAGCAGTTGACAACTGAGAGGTATCTCGCCACAGCAACTTTGGTTTTCGCGTGATGGTGTTGTCTGGCGCATGCGCGGGGCAATGTGTAGGAGCCTAGCCAACCAGACATCAGATCCACACAACACACACACACACAACACACGCATTCCATTGCGTTCCGAGCCCCACACACATTTTAACCGTATGATCAATTTCAATTCATAATTGCAATCCGCTCTCATACACATTGGGGAAAAATGCTTGTTAACCATCAACCTGTTCTGAAACTATGCTCGTCCATGCAGCGGGGAACCCCAAAGACACATTCATCAATTGTATTGCGTATTCATAATCGGCATTTTATCATATATAGATTAATATAACTATAGCTTACAATTTTGTGTATAAGCTAAACTTAAACTAGGACAGGTGTTTAGGTTCTGTAGACGGAAGTCCCCCTATAATTGACGACGTCAACACCACTCCATACAGTTACAGCCCCGCTCCTGTGCCAGGTAAGTCTACTACGGGCTCACCATAGCCCGTGCTACTTGCCCCGCTCCTGTGCCAGGTAAGTCCACTACGGGCTCACCATAGCCCGTGCTACTTGCCCCGCTCCTGTGCCAGGTAAGTCCACTACGGGCTTGCCATAGCCCGTGCTACTTGCCCCGCTCCTGTGCCAGGTAAGCTACGGGCTCACCATAGCCCGTGCTACGTGGAACTTGTTCGAGTAGCTGAATCTATAACAACAATAACAACCACTCCATATGCAGGCGAATATTCTCAATCGACTTGAGAATGGTCCAGGACGGACCGAAACGTCGTCGTCCCTTCAATTTCTAGTGTGTGGTCTGGTCAACCACTCCATACAGTTACAGCCCCGCTCCTGTGCCAGGTAAGTCCACTACGGGTTCACCATAGCCCGTGCTACTTGAAACTTTTTGTTTCCAGTAGCTGAATCTTAAACAACAACAACAACCACTCCATAGATGTTCGATCACCGTCAGTTGTGAGTTGTGTCAAGCATTGCTCTCATCTATAGGCAGGTGGCATGGCGGCTGGATTAACGAACGTACATATGAGAAAATACCCATTTTGAATACACAGCACGTTAAAACTGCCCTTTGGGGCCGGCCTCTGCAGGGATGATCATATATTTTTACTCGTAACTTTAATTATAGAGATACTTGAAATTGCTGAGTCAGTCACATAGCAGGAATTATATACACAGATACAAAGTTAACCACACTTATATTACCAGATGAGTTACTGAATCTTAACTTATATGAGCAGACTGAATCCCCCTTGTGTTCTGCAACAGGCTTTTCTACAAGTATTCTGCTCCTGGCTGCGTCACCTTCTTCCTAGTTCACGCGAACAACTTACTGAGGAAGTGAGCTCGCAAACGTCAATTTATGCAGGTGACGCAAAAGCTGATGAGGAATGTAAAAATAGAGGATGACTGCAGGAAGTTACCGGCGGACTTTGACAAACTCCAGGAGTGGGTAAACAAATGGTTGATAGAATTCAACCCCAGTATTCGTAGGACAATGAATATGGGAAAGGGAGAGAGAGAGGAGACCAGGCAGTATCTACACCTTAAGGGGAGGACAACTACAGGAGTTGGAAAGAAAGATGTGGAAGTGGATATAATTCCAACACTAACGTCGTAGACACACACAAACGAGGTAACATCGGCAGCATATGGAATTCTGGGGCCAGATTCACGAAAGCACTTACGAACCTGTACATCTTTTCTCAATCTTCGGCGGCTTTGTTTCCAATTATTAAACAGTTAATGCGCTCCGAAGCACCAGGAGACTGTTTATAACAATAACAACAGTTGATTGGCAAGTTTTCATGCTTGTAAACTGTTTAATAAATGTAACCAAAGCCGTCAAAGATTCAGGAAAGATGTACACGTTCGTAAGTGCTTTCGTGAATCTGGCCCCTGGCCAACATAAGGACATCGCCTTTAAACCTAAATTAGGACTCCTTTAATAAAATCTACACAGCACTTGTTAGACCAATACTGGAATATACAGAACAGGCATGAAATAAGCACTTTATGTAGCACAAAACCAAAATTGAAAAAGAACACACGTTTACAATACACAGAGAAATCACATTATCGTGATAATGCTGGGGCCTAACAGCTGAGTGAACAGCGCTTCGGATTCGTAGTCTTGAGGTTCCGGGTTCGATCCCCAGTGGAGGCGGAAACAAATGGGCCGAGTTTCTTTAACCCTGATGCACCTGTTACTTAGCAGTAAATAGGTACCTGGGAGTTAGACAGCTGCTACGGGCTGCTTCCTGGGGGTGTGTGTAACAAAAAAGAGAGAGGCCTGGTCGAGGACCGGGCCGCGGGGACGCTAAGCCCCGAAATCATCTCAAGATAATCTCAAGATAACCATTGTTTTTCTGCCGGTTATGCAGCATTTGTGGAAATATGGTGTCCTATGTATTGGACCTTCGTTTTTATGTATTTTTTTCTGTTTAGCCTAATTTGTGACTAAACTGCTTTGCAAATTGCATTTTATGTTGTTGGTAATGTGAGTTTACTGTAACCTTGCGTTGCCAAGGTGTTCTGAGGGACTCTTTTGTCAATATATTGTATATATGTCAACTACACTATGACGTTGTTAGGGGTTTTATGCAATGTTATGTGTCTGAGTGTGCTGATCTGATCCATTGTATGTATATTTTGTTGTTAAATTTTAACACTGTTAATAATTTCCAGTGTATTTCTTGGTCAAAAAGGAGTGTAGATGAATGTTGACTAGACCACACACTAGAAGGACGACGACGTTTCGGTCCGTCCTGGACCATTCTCAAGTCGATTGCGACTTGAGAATGGTCCAGGACGGACCGAAACGTCGTCGTCCCTTTACCTTTTAGTGTGTGGTCTGGTCAAAATACTTCAGTCACATTATTGTGACTCGTCGCCTGTAGATGAATTTATTTCAATGGTGATGTATATTTGTGGCTAGTATGTTATTGTTTATCTCCTGAAATGTGTTATACTGGAGTTGTGTCCTGGTGTAGTCTACGTGCTTTATAAGGATTCTTGTCATGTATTTTCGTGTACGGCACACATGAACGTTATTCTGTAGCGCTGTTGGGTGTTTATATCTCTGGTAAAGAAGGTGTTGCCGGCAAGCCACCAGAGGGAGCGGCGCACATGTCCTCGACTCAAGTCCATTACATTCAGCGGTCGACCCCACAAACACATTCATAAGTGTTTACATGCTGTTCATTCAAAAACAGGAATTTTCTCAGATATAAATTAATATTATAATATATTAGCATATTGTGCATATATAGGCATAGGCTAGATGTTTAGGTTCTGTTGACGATTATTTGTTATTTACAGCATTGTGGTTCGAACGAAATTCGTCAGTGAAACACTTGATTCGGAAGTGTTCGAACGAAATCAGTTGTGAGTCGTGTGTGTGTAAACCGTTTTTCTTTCATAAACAGGGGGTTTGGTGGGAGCATGGAATCACTTTTGGGTCTTTGTTTGGAGGACGGGCTGAGCGAGGCGTGGAGTTGGTGTTTGGGTGACTGTTCCGTGCCCTGTGTGGTACCCGGGTGGTGCAGGGGTCCAGGTGCTCCAGGATGGGGGTCGTCATTGCCTCCCCTTAAGTTGACTACTTCGGCTGGATTAGAGTTTCTTACATCGGTGGATCATACGGCGGATGGTGTGGCGCTCGTGGAGGTGTTCAGTGTCCGGTTGACTGATTTGGTAGGCGTTCAGCTCCCTCAAGACCGCCGTGTGGTGGTCAAATTTCTACGGCAAGCTGTGTTCCAGGAGTTCCTCGATCGGTGTGAGGGATGTTTCCCTATGCCTGATGGTGTAGGCACCGTCCCAGTGTTCAGCTCCAGTGTCACGGTGATGAACGTGGCGGTGCGTGGAGCCCAGTTTGAAATGACGGATAGGCTATGGGCTATTTTAAACAAAGAAAAAACTGTAATAAAGGATTATGACCTGTTGTTTATATTTGTTTTTCATACTGTAATTTTATTAATACAAATTATGGTTACCTCACGTCCCTACTGACCAACTTTAGTTATACTTTATTCATGAACTCTGGTCAGAACTAAACTCTTTTTAGTATATAAACCAATAAGAAGCACTTACTTCTATATGTATATATCCCTTCACGTCGATGTTGTTAGAAAGCTTCGCTATATTCTCATGATTAGCTACATATAATTCTCAAATATTGACCAAATTTATATAAAATCTCTAATGTTTATATTAAAAATCATAGTCATTTTTGGAAATAATAATTTTATTGGCTTTCGTAGTTTTCAGGCAAAATATAATAAGGAAATACGAATTTTTCCAAAGTACTACTTAAAGTTCTGCATTTCGTGATACAGTTTTTCCGATTAATTTTCCTCCATACAGAAAAAAACATATAACATAGCCTACTTGGACGACGCTCTACTGACTGCCTCCCCGATATGCTATGGCTGTTAATGGCTAAGCAGTGTCATTATGTAGTTAAACAGGCTGCTTACTGTAGCCAAACGGGCCGTAGAATTCTTAACGAGAGACCTGATTTTTCATGATTTTCAGCTGGCTAGGTTAATTTAATTGTTAATTCCTGTTGTCGGGGACAGGAAGCCTGCACGTTGGCTTATCGAGGCATGAATATCAACTATATATATTGACCTTCACCATGATTCAACCCAAAACAGTTTCCCTTCACCCGGGTACCTATTTATTGATAGGTGAACAGAGGCATCAGATAAGAGAACCCATCTCTGTCCCGCACGGGGATCGAACCCCGGAACCTCGCGTGTCAGGCAAAGACGTAGATGGATCGCGCAAGATCATCAGTCATGACTAGAGGTCATGCGTGGCTCTGATTTATGCCAGACGAGTGTTTTTCTTATTTCCTACGAAACTATGGGTGTCCGTGGGGGGTCACGGGTGTCCGTGGGAGGTCACGGGTGTCCGTGGGAGGTCACGGGTGTCCGTGGGAGGTCACGGGTGTCCGTGGGAGGTCACGGGTGTCCGTGGGAGGTCACGGGTGTCCGTGGGAGGTCACGGGTGTCCGTGGGAGGTCACGGGTGTCCGTGGGAGGTCACGGGTGTCCGTGGGAGGTCACGGGTGTCCGTGGGAGCCTACGGGTGTCCGTGGGAGCCCGCGGATAGCCGTGGGAGACTATGGGTGACTGTGGGACGTAAGATGAACATTTTATATGGGGTCAATGGGAACCCTTGGGTCCGTATAAATGTACAGCTCCAGCGAAATTTTAGTTAAGTTTCACCCGGATTTAGCACAGTCACAGCCCCGCTCCTGTGCCAGGTAAGTCCACCAGGGGCTCACCATAGCCCGTGCTATTTGGAACTTTTTTGTTCTGAGCAGCTGAATCTTAAACAACATAAATTTTAGGCTAGACCAGACGCTTGCGTGCTGTAGCGCCCGCTCTTGGTCAACTGTTCACATACTGTGAATTCTGCAAGATAAAAAGCACGCTGCCAAGGGATGTGTTGGTGCTGTCTTGGTGTTTGTTGATTGCTGGGTGTACTGTATTGGTGTTTGTTGATTGCTGGGTGTACTGTATTGGTGTTTGTTGATTGCTGGGTGTACTGTATTGGTGTTTGTTGATTGCTGGGTGTACTGTATTGGTGTTTATTGATGCCGAGGGCGCAAGCTTCGTGTATGCTGATGTTGGAGGGTGCAGTCCTGTATTGGCCAGCGCCAATACAGATGACTGTAAACCGATTGTAAATTCTCCCAATCGACTTGAGAATGGTCCAGGACGGACCGAAACGTCGTCATCCCTTCACCTTCTAGTGTGTGGTCTCGTCAACACTGTAAACCGAAATTTTCCGGGAGAGAAAGATGATAAAATCAAATCAATGACGGTAAGGCAATTCTTAGGAGAAAGAGCTATGTCAGTATGTCTATCTAACAGTTGTATAGTATGAGAGGATAAGGATTTGGATAAGGGCAGAGGAAAGTAACTAGCTACCTGGACAGTCGGGGATTAAATTCTAACCTGTAGGCAGCGAGACAGTCCCTCGGCCATCAAGTCCAAGTCATCTAGTTAGTAGAAATGTTAACGTAGGTGACCCGTTGTCGTACGTCCAGAAGCTCCAGCGTAAATGGGTCGTCTGTGTGTAAGCTGAGGAGTTAACACATACAGTTCCCTTCCCTCCCCTCTCTCCGTCCAATTTAATTAACAAATCGACAAGTCGTTCATTCAAAACTAAACTATCAAACAAGAGGTGTGATATATACCAACCTGGGGCTAGATTCACGAAGCATACACAAACACTTACGAACCTGAACATCTTTTCTCAATCTTTGGCGGCTTTGTTTACATTTATTAAAAGTTAATAAGCTCCGAAGCACCAGGAGGCTGTTTATAACAATAACAACAATTTATTGGCAAGTTTTCATGCTTGTAAACTGTTTAATAAATGTAACCAAAGCCGTCAAAAATTGAGGAAAGATGGACACGTTCGTAAGTACTTGCGTAACTGTTTCGTGAATCTGGCCCCAGATACATGTTCAATTTGCACGACCTTAGCGATTTTCGTCCCCTTTTTCATCTGAAATACTAAAAATTACTCATATTTGCAACAACAGTCTGTAGACACCCCTAAAATATAAAAAAAAAAATGATAAATGAATAATAACAATAACAGTAATCAAAGTATATAATAACCGTATTGCAACAGTTAACTAAACAGAAGTGCAGTTCTATACAGTATTATATACTCAAAAGTAAACATTAACAACTGGCATATAAAATATAATTATAATATTATACGCGCTCACCAAAAGGAGAAATATTGAAATCATATTGACTGGCAGCTGTAATATCGACGACAAGCTGACCACAAGCTGGAAAACTGGCGACCTGTTGACTGGAAAACTGGCGACCTGTTGACTGGAAAACTGGCGACCTGTTGACTAGAAACAGGAAAGTAGACTGTTAATAGAAAGATAAAATGCTGATTGGAAACTGAATGTTGACACAGAAAACGAGGACAAAGATTTTTGCTACCTGTGAGGTAGACATTTTCCTCACTATTGCCAATATATGGCCAATATCCTTGTAAGCAGGATTTTTTTTTATCGCCAACGTACAAAAACGCCGTCAAGAAAACGCAGAAACCTAAAATGGCTGGTATAAAACAAACACTCAAACGAGGATTTTCATTGACAACTTTAATTATAAAATGCTATGTACATAATAAACATGAATGCTTTCTCAAACATGAATGTTAATGCTGTCACACTCGTCACTAACATAATTTAGATTACAATGCTTTATTTTCCAGCGAGAACTCAGGCACTCATGCACGCACACACGCGCACACACACACACACACACACACACACACTTGACCACCATCCTGCGCAGTACATCACAACGGAGCCTAAGCCAAGCACGTTCACCCACACATAAACAAGAGTTGTAAAAAAAAGGAAAAACATTAATATAGTATATTTTCTTCCAGCGAGAGATAGAGATAGAACATTTATAGTGAGACATCAGGGATTCAAGAGATTTGGCATGAACAACTGACGTGAAGGCAACACAACATTATACCTTCATCGCTTATAGAATGAATAAATGTCTTCTCTGAGTGTTTACAATTATATAGTGAGGCTTCCATACAGTTTATATTTATCACTGAAAATACAAACAATAGAATCAACCTCTTGTGTAAAATAATCCACATTTTGGAAACAGTGATAAGAAATAAGCGAGACACTTGTACATTTCTGATGCAAAAAAATGTGTGAAATTATATGTGAAAAGACATAAATATTGGAAAAATCTAACTTTTTTTCTTCGGCTCTTGAAATTTTTTTTTTATTTATATTTTCCTGTCGCAGTCCACCATCAGCTGCCGAACATAGCCAACACGTTCTTGTTACTTGACGACTTCTTTCTGTTATGTCCGAAGTCTGGAAACTCAAGGAACCTGTTCCTCAACTTAGCGACTTTTTCTTCCGCTGGTACTCTACTTGGCGAAGTTCCTTCCAGTGGACGTGAACTTGACCAAGTTCCTTCCAGCGGACGTGAACTTAACCAAGTTCTTTGCAGTGGACGTGAACTTGACCTATGGAAGTTCCTTCCAGTGGACGTGAAGTTAACCAAGTTCCTTGCCAGTGGACGTGAACCTGACTAAGTTCCTTCTACTGTTCTTTAGATTAGCTATTTATTTTTTGTAGCCGTTTCTCAACTTGGCGATTTTTCTATTTTCGTCCCTCACAGTCGACGGTCTCTGCCCAGTTACACATTCCGCCGACAGGATCAAAAACAAGGTGCTGGGGGCAGGTGTACACCCAGCCACGCACCAGTCCTCGAACAGTCTTCGAACACGATATAAACTTCTTGCACGAGTCAGGGTGGGCGAAGTATCCAGTGTCGTTGCACTGGACAGAGCCGTCAGCCATCAGTACCGCCTTTTCCGTTAGCGTCGTCGCCAGCTGCCCCAGTGTCCCGGTGAGGGCGCCGCCCAGGTCGTCGTAGTAGTAATCATAGTAGTCGTTGCCGTCTTTGATGGACGATTGCGCTGGGCCGGGAGTGGCCACAGGAGCTAGGGGTACTCTTTCAGGGCTTAGGCGTACTGGGCGTGGGCTTCTTGGTGGTGGAGGCGTAGTGGTTGTGCGTGGCGTAGAGCTGAAGGTGGGGCGTAGACTAGGGCGTGGGCGTGGGCTGCCGCGTGAGCGTGGAGTCGAAGTTGTTGTGGGCGTGGGCGTGGTGGGAGCAGGTGAGGTGGCCGCGGGTCGAGAGAATAGAGACGAGAAGGTGGGTCTTACCGAGGTCTCCGGGAAAAGTGTTGTTTCCGGAAAGTCTTGACGGAACACAGTGATACTTTCCTCCTCGGCGAGTGTGGGCGCCAGAGTCGTGGGGCTCGTCACAGGGGCAGGGATGCTGATCAGAGGGTTAAGTGGGCGTGAGTCTTCCTCCTGCAGGAATGGGTGTGGACTAGCATCATCCAGCTGGGAGACAGGGCGCGATGTTCGCGGAGTGGTCTGAACGAGTGGACGGGTGAGCCTTGGAGTGTCATCAGATGGGCGAGTTGGTCTTGGTCTGTCTTTAATTGAGAGAGTTGGACGTGGACTGATCCCGACCAGTGGGCGGGTTGGGCGCTCACGAGCTTCAGGCTGTTCACTGGCTTCAAGCTGTGGGGTGGGCCGAGGGCGGGTGAAGGATCTGGTTGGGAGGTTGTGGGTGGAAGTCGGTGAGCGCAGCTTGTTCCTCGACGGTCTGCTGGTCTGTTCCTGAGTTGACACAATAACAAAGAATTACTGGCACACACATTCATGTCTACTATGAAACATTACTTATACTTTTTCTAAATAAATTATGCCCCTATTAAAGTGAAATTTATTCAATATTTTAAGGTATAATATTTATATTAGGTAAGAAATGTCAGCCTATCTGCGATATCTGACAATTATATTTGTGAGGTTATAGAAGAAACTACTTATCTGCAAATACAATAAATACTTCATCTATATTGTCTTATTTGTGAACTGATACAGAAACATCACCCACACATCAGTGACAGCAGACGGAAGCACACATTCCAGAGTCAGGTCACCAAGGAAGCTGCCACAGGTAGAGTCAGAGAATATCGGAGTCGAGGAAGTCAGAACGTAGCTTAGTGCCTTTCACAGGGAAGGGAAAGTTCCCAGGTGGCAGAAACCAGTCACCCGCAAGTCGTAGTTCACCAGGAAGGATTCTCAGAGGATTCCAGGGAATGTGGTAATTTATGGGTTGTAGTGGTTGTGTTTATATTTAAGGTTTGGATTGGTTGTGTCGAAAAAAAAAGATAAAACGTAGGCTGAACAATAATGGATCTTTCTCTTACCCACACTGCGTCATTTTCGATCTGGAAGAGATTGTCATTTATACCAAACAAGCTGGAGAACGATCAGTGAACACAGGAGAAGCAAACTTGTGGCTAAAGTCTGTCCTGTTGACCTCTGACTCTTATCCTCCAACATCAAGTTCTGAAACAGAGACGAAGTCCGTCCAAGTCGAGCTGTCATTATTTTTTCAGGTCAGGATTTGGGTCGTTCCCAGTCCATGGTGTGTCCGTCAGGCGTCAGGACCAAGATATTAAGTTGGTTATGACATGCTATGGTTTCATGAGCAATACTATATCATACGAGTAGATTCAAGTCATTCAATGTGCCCGTGACCAGGTTAACATGTGAAGTTGCTCCTCTACGCTACTGCCTGATGCACATCATCCACTTACTCTCTAATATCACAGCGGGCAAACCATCCTCGAGTGACGTTGAATTAACTTTGGATAAATATTAAATCAACGTCGTTTGGTCGGGTTTGCCCGGGGGATTGATCGTGCATATTCAGGTGAATGCAGACTAATACAGGAAAATACAGTTTTTATACCATGGGATTTTGGGTTGTTAATTTGACAGGGAAAGAAGGTATATACAGTCCACAGTCTGACTACGTACACTCACACTACACCCACCACCAAAGAAGGGAGAAAATAATTACTTGACCAGAGGCTGCTTTCTTCTCGACTCTCTTCCTCACTACAACTCTTCTCCGGGGGTGCTGGGGAGACCCGCTAGGTGTGGGGGCTGAGGGCTGTCTGACAACGCTGGGCGCCGACTCAGGACCCTCCTCCTCCTCCTTCTCCCTTCCCCCAGCCCTCGCCTCCTCCAGTGCTGGGTCCTGGCTAGGTGTGGAGGGAGGGCGGGACTCTGCGGAGGTCCTTCGACGCCCACCGCCTGCAGATGGTCCCAAGCGTGAGGTTGGTGACGCCCCTTCGGGACGACCTTTCACGCGGGTGCGGGTTCGTGTTGGTCCTCTGGTGGTGTCAGCTGTTGTACTTGTTGTAGACTCAGTTGTTGTAGTGGGGGTGGTGGTGGAGGAGGTGGTTGTGGTGGTGGAGGAGGGGGTTGTGGTGGTGGTGGTGGTTGTAGTAGTAGTAGTAGGTGGAGGTGTTGTGGTTGTAGTTGTTGTAGTAGTGGTTGATGTTTGTGGTACTGACGGCGGCGTAGAAGAGCCTGGGAGGTCAAGGCCAGACGACCCTACAGCACCGTAGATGCCGTCGTCGTCGTAGTAACTGTAATCTTCGGCTGCAGCCTGAGGAGAGAGAGCATCATGCTGGCTTCCTCCGGCCTCAGTCGCCTCCAGCTGGCTGTGCGACGACGCATGCCCCGTCACCCCCACCACGTGCGTCGTGCCCTCCGGTGCGCCACGACCGCCGCCATGCTGTGAGTCATGCACTACAGGGGTAGCTTCCTTCTCCCTGGGGTCCACGAGAGGGGGAGGTGGGTCATGCAAAAGATCTCCCTGGGGGGGAAGAATGCCTCCAGTACCATGCACCGTTAGATGAAGAGAGTGATGAGTGGGGATGAGAGGCTGCGAGCTGGGGGGTGAGGGGTCTGTGGCACTAGTCTGGGAGGGGTCTGTGGCACTAGTCTGGGAGGGGTCTGTGGCACTGGTCTGGGAGGGGTCTGTGGCACTAGTCTGGGAGGGGTCTGTGGCACTGGTCTGGGAGGGGTCTGTGGCACTAGTCTGGGAGGGGTCTGTGGCACTGGTCTGGGAGGGGTCTGTGGCACTAGTCTGGGAGGGGTCTGTGGCACTGGTCTGGGAGGGGTCTGTGGCACTGGTCTGGGAGGGGTCTGTGGCACTAGTCTGGGAGGGGTCTGTGGCACTGGTCTGGGAGGGGTCTGTGGCACTAGTCTGGGAGGGGTCTGTGGCACTAGTCTGGGAGGGGTCTGTGGCACTAGTCTGGGAAGGCGAGGCGTCTGTGGCACTAGTCTCGGGGGTTGGGGTGTGTGTAGGGGGTGCAGAATCAAGCCCAGAGATGTGCTGCACAGCCTCGTCTATATGAAGCCCGCCTGAGGACTCTGCTGTGGGGGTGCCAGAGCTGTGTGGGGGGGAGGAGGCTGCTGGGGTGTCAGGGGAAGGATCACTAGCTACATGTGGCACCAGTGTCACGTCCTCTGCTGTGTCATCTGTGGCACCTACTAGTGTACCAACAGTTTGTGGAAGACCGTCGGTCTGTGACGTACGACCAGTTTGCGACTTACGTCCACTAGACGTAATGTGGTCATCGTGTGTTACACGTTCAGTCTGTGACACTCGTCCAGTCTGTGACACACGTCCAGTCTCTGACACACGTCCAGTCTCTGACACACGTCCAGTCTCTGACACACGTCCAGTCTCTGACACACGTCCAGTCTGTGACACACGTCCAGTCTCTGACACACGTCCAGTCTGTGACACACGTCCAGTCTCTGACACACGTCCAGTCTCTGACACACGTCCAGTCTGTGACACACGTCCAGTCTCTGACACACGTCCAGTCTCTGACACACGTCCAGTCTCTGACACACGTCCAGTCTGTGACCGAGTCACACTAGATGTCACTTTGTCCTGGTGGAAGACTTGGTCACTCTGTGGCAAAAGTATGATAGTTTTCACACGGCCATCCTGTGACACAGTGCTCGGTGACACTAGTTCATTCTGTGACACACTCACACTAGGTGTCACGTGGTCATCTTGTGAAACAGTTTTAGCTTTAGATAATAAAACAGTGGGTGTCACTTGGTCATCTTTTGGCACCTGGTCAGTTTGTGATACAAGATCATTTTCTGACACCTGGTCACTATGTGACACACGGCCAGTTTGTGACACACGAACGCTAGGTGTTACCTGGTCATCTTGTGACACACGGCCAGTCTGTGACACACGGCCAGTCTGTGACACACGAACGCTAGGTGTCACCTGGTCGTCTTGTGACACACGAACGCTAGGTGTCACCTGGTCATCTTGTGACACACGGTCAGTCTGTGACACACGGCCAGTTTGTGACACACGAACGCTAGGTGTCACCTGGTCATCTTGTGACACACGGCCAGTCTGTGACACACGAACGCTTGGTGTCACCTGGTCATCTTGTGACACACGAACGCTAGGTGTCACCTGGTCATCTTGTGACACACGGCCAGTCTGTGACACACGAACGCTAGGTGTCACCTGGTCATCTTGTGACACACGAACGCTAGGTGTCACCTGGTCATCTTGTGACACACGGCCAGTCTGTGACACACGAACGCTAGGTGTCACCTGGTCATCTTGTGACACACGGTCAGTCTGTGACACACGAACGCTTGGTGTCACCTGGTCATCTTGTGACACACGAACGCTAGGTGTCACCTGGTCATCTTGTGACACACGGCCAGTCTGTGACACACGAACGCTAGGTGTCACCTGGTCATCTTGTGACACACGGCCAGTCTGTGACACACGAACGCTTGGTGTCACCTGGTCATCTTGTGACACACGAACGCTAGGTGTCACCTGGTCATCTTGTGACACACGGCCAGTCTGTGACACACGAACGCTAGGTGTCACCTTGTCATCTTGTGACACACGATCAGTCTGTGACACACGAACGCTTGGTGTCACCTTGTCATCTTGTGACACACGGCCAGTCTGTGACACACGAACGCTAGGTGTCACTTTGTCATCTTGTGACACACGGCCAGTCTGTGACACACGATCAGTCTGTGACACACGAACGCTAGGTGTCACCTTGTCATCTTGTGACACACGGTCAGTCTGTGACACACGATCAGTCTGTGACACACGAACGCTAGGTGTCACCTGGTCATCTTGTGACACACGGCCAGTCTGTGACACAAGAACGCTAGGTGTCACCTTGTCATCTTGTGACACACGATCAGTCTGTGACACACGAACGCTTGGTGTCACCTTGTCATCTTGTGACACACGGCCAGTCTGTGACACACGAACGTTAGGTGTCACTTTGTCATCTTGTGACACACGGCCAGTCTGTGACACACGATCAGTCTGTGACACAGGAACGCTAGGTGTCACCTTGTCATCTTGTGACACACGGTCAGTCTGTGACACACGATCAGTCTGTGACACACGAACGCTAGGTGTCACCTGGTCATCTTGTGACACACGGTCAGTCTGTGACACACGATCAGTCTGTGGCACACGAACGCTAGGTGTCACCTGGTCATCTTGTGTCACACTGTCAGTCTGTGACACACGAACACTAGGTTTCACCTGGTCATCTTGTGTCACACTGTCAGTCTGTGACACACGAACACTAGGTGTCACCTGGTCGTCTTGTGACACACGAACCCTAGGTGTCACAAGGTCATCTTGTGATACACGAACGCTAGGTGTCACAAGGTCATCTTGTGACACACGAACGCTAGGTGTCACCTGGTCATCTTGTGTCACCTGCTCATCTTGTGACACGCGAATAGTCTGTGACACACGAATACTAGGTGTCACCTGGTCGTCTTGTGACACACGACCAGTCTGTGACACGCGGCGAGTTTGTGGCACACGACCAGTCTGTGACACACGGCCTGCTTGTGACACACGGCCTGCCTGTGACACACGGCCTGCCTGTGACACACGGCCTGCCTGTGACACACGGCCTGCCTGTGACACACGGCCTGTCTGTGACTGACGGTCTGTCTGTGACACAATTCCACTTTGTGACACAGAGTCAGTCTGTGACACCCGTCCAGTTTGTATTCCATCGTCATCTTTTGCTGCTTTGTCAGTCTGTGAGACTCGCGCTCGAGATGTCAGATGGCCATCTTGTATTTCCTTCTCATCTAGTAACACGTCGTCAGTCTGTGTCACACTGTCAGGACCTGACACAAAGTTAGTCTGTGGGTCTAGTACCTGGGTTATGTCATCAGTATTCGCCAATATGACGACCTTTGACCTGAGGCGAGTCTGAGGTTCATCGGTAACATCAACCAATGATTTGACCTTATGATCCCGACCATGACCTTGCTCGAGGTTATTACTGTCCAGCTTGGGTTTGGATGCTTCTTCGGCGTCTGAGCGGATCTCCGTAAGAGGCGTGACCTCCCCAGCAGGAGTCAGCGTGTCCTGGTCCTTACTGGTGAGGTCTCCCACCGGTACTGGCCTCAGCTCTGAGACTATCTTCACTGGTCGGATTTCGGGAAGCACCTTTACTGGGATTGGTTTAATCTCCGGAACAGCTGTAGTGGGTATTATTTCGTTGTCCGGTACAACTTTGTCAGGAACAAGGTCTTTATCGGAGACAACCTTGATGGGTACAAGTCTGTGACCATGAACGACTCTAGCGCGTCCAAGATTGTTCTCAGTGCGATCCGAGTTGTCCGCATAAGCCACGTACTCGGGGAAATCGAGCGGAGGCCTGAAGGTGATCTCTGGAGCAGTATTAACATCGAGAGTCAGGTCGGGATCTTTTGCCAGGTCCCCCTTGGACACGACCTCGGCCTTAGCGCCAGCATGCACTTGCGTTACAGCGTCAGCTTTAGTTAGTACAGTTACGTCTGGTTTGTCAGCCAAAGCCGCCACTACTTCCCCTGTAGCTGGTTGCCTAGGCCTCGACACCAAGGGCGCCTCGACGCGTGGAAGAGAAGAACCCGCCTGAATACGGGGCGTGACAGCCGGAACACTAGACAAACCATCATGCAAGAGATTATCCTGAATGTCCTCTGTGAGAGTTACCGGGCTTGTTGGCCTCACCACAAGTGGCCGGTACCTGACCGCGGACCCACTTACAGGCACGTTGGTGACAGTCGTCTCCTCGAACACGGCGGGTGTCTCTTCCTCTGCAGCGGGAGTGGTAAAGCGGCCTCGCTCTAGCACCACATACCTACGGGTAGGAAGCACTTTAATGTTTATATCAATATTCTCATTTCTCCCGTAAACCTCCACACGAGACAGTGGTAATAATGAACCTTAGGGAGATGAATGTACTTTATTTTAAATAAAATCTTGTGCTACGACGTTCAATGAGTGCTTCATTATATATGGGTAATTCATTGTCAGTTCTAGAAAAATTTGCCAAAGAATCTTGCACATCACTTTACCCAAATCACAGAGAAGCTTAAAAGTAGTTTGTACAACATGCAACTAAGCAAATGCTTCACCACTTGAAGTAGAAGGAAACTCCCAAGAGGTCAAGTGAGCTACAAGTATATGGTCAAGAATTATCGAAAGACATATGAGGCAGATACATAAAGATGGCTCAGATTGGAGCGACAGAGCGATAAGGGTAACATTAGTGTACTCTTTTTAGGGTGACTGAAGCCTTTAACCTGAAGAATACAATAACAGAATAACTAATAATCATGAAATTAATATGAGGAACGCCCAAGAGTAGAAGTACCTCGCACAGTGATAGATATAATCGTCATGATACAAGCTGTACATAACGTCCCTCATTAGTTGATGAGAAAACACCTCCCCACAGCCTTATCTGTATCGTTAATTAAAGAGGGACAAACCCCTAAAGACAATGTTGAGAGCAGCACTTAAGCAGAGCCCTTTCAGCAAGCGCTGAAGCCGCAGCAGCAAAATTATTGAGTGTATGGTACCTTGGTGTTGTGGATACGGCAGGAACTAATCCTAGTGCCGGACTAACGGTTGGCTCTGAGCCTGAAGGAGTAGGTGGGGTAGGGGTTCCAGGTGTTGTGATGCCACTAGAGCGGGTAATAGTCACGTACTGGCGAGATGGTTCGGTTGGGGACACAGCCTCAAGAGCCGGGGTATCTTTCCTGTCGGCGACTGGTCGGCGTCTGTCGAGGGTGACATACTGGCGGCCGCCTGTTGTTGTGAGTTCAGCCTCACGGACTTCGCCCTCCTCCTCGACGGGACTGGACTGGGCGGTAGGGCGCCCTGGACGTTGGCGTTCAATAGCACTATACTGTAGACGGCCGCGTAGGGGAGGGTTTATTGAGTCTCGTCGCTTAGGGGCCTCCTGGACGGCAGGTTCCAGAGCTTCCTGGACGGCAGGTTCCGGAGCCTCCGTTCTACAAGGGATCAAAACAACATATTTTTACTTAATGATTCTAACGCTAAACCGAAATCATTATTATGACTTTAAATTAATAATTCCTACTATATTTTTATTAATTCTATTCGAAGAAGGCAGCACTTTTCAGAAAATATATTTGCTAAAAATGCAAACGTATTTTAATTTACTAAATAAACATAAATATTATACAGACAATTTATTAATTTATTTATCTCCAAGATTTCCTCTGAAATAAAATTTCAGAGGAAAATCTTAAAAATGTTAATGATATTCAAGGGAGTTGGAGGTAATAGAGGCGACAGGAGCCTCACATAAGCAGTAGACGAACAAGAGAAAGACAACAGTAGACACAACACGAGATTGTCGGCTGGGAAGTAGGGGGGAGTGGGGGATGATGGAGGGGGGTGGGGGGGATGGATGGAGAGGAGGGGGAAGGGGAGAGTGGAAGGGAGGAGGGTGCAGGTAGTTTAATAACAAGAGTGAACATTACCTATCTGGTCACCCCCGGCATGGCCTTAACGCTCAGGGCTACACTATATCCCAGACCAGTAATGTATGTCTCGTCCCTTTTCCATGTCCAATTGACCTCTGGAATAGTGTTGACCAAACCACACACTAGAAAGTGAAGAGACGACGACGTTTCGGTCCGTCCTGTAGGGAGCACAATATCGGGGGACTGGGATAGCAACTCACCTGTCACGGGATATGCTGGCGTACTGGGGCCTAGTGCGGCCACCGAGAGGTCTTGAGGTCGTCTCAACTTCGATTGTGGCTTCAGTGGTACTACTTGACCCCCTCGTGAACTGGGCGCCTCCAGAGTTCTGTAGCCTGCAGGAGAGAAAACCAATTAGTTATTCTGAAGCTCCGAAGTCTGCAGGAGGAATTAATACATAACAAAAACTAAATTTTATTGTTATACAATTTGTATTCGTCCCCTGTGTGAGGAAGCAGTTCTCTCTCTTCATCTATCGACTAGCCTCCATTTTATCAGTAGGTGTTTGGTACAGAGTTACACAAACAGATCTACAATGTACACGACCTTTACCCTGGTTACAATCCCTTGATCCTCACTACAAACAATCCTCAATATCCACAATTGGGTGAAAGTCTTAACTATTCAATGCAATTCCATTATCATATACTCCTCTACAGAGCCGCTACTCGCATACACAGAACTGACCCGGGCGTAGCCCTGTGTTGCTTACTGTCTACTGACGGTGTTGGACACCTCCTCCACAGGTTTGGGCAGTTCGGCAACGGCAGGTTCCTCATCGTAGTAGTATTCATCGTCACCGTAGTAGTCGTCGTAGTAAGAGTAGTCGGTCGGGATCTCCGTGGTGGTGGGGATGGGGGTGGTTGGACCTTGGGTAGTGGTAGTCGCCGCCGCCCCTCCTCTGCCCTTTTTGTCCGTACTGCACCTGGCCCGGCTCGGGTGGTCGCAGCCGTCGATAACCTTGTTGAAGACCAAATCTGTTTTGGTGGAGGGAAACGTCGAAGTGTTAAGTTCGACTTTACTTCTTCGATGCTGCCTGATGGGTTGAGGGTGGAGAGCCAACTCTCAGGGCGTATGTCAAGGGAGTTTTGTACATTCCTCATCATTAAATCAATAAGGGAACACCTTCCTGAGCTGCTACCTAACTTGAGGCGAAGATAAGCATCACTTGAGGGGATGGGGGGGCATGTAAAGACAGCTACTTTACCTGAGAAGCGAGACACCTGCATGTGGGCCAGGGGAGTGCCACCTACCTGAGGGGCAGGTGAAGGCGTGGGCGACGATGCCCAGCCCTGAAGGTCCTGAGTCGAGACACCAGTAGTACTTGTGGCAGTTGTCAGGGTTCTGGTAGAAGCCCTCGCGTTTGCAAGCAAAGCCTAATGAAGAGAGGAACAAGTAATCAATGACACGATAAAAGAATGATGATGCTGGCAATGGAAGAATGACATATATACTGAAGCGTGCTTCACTCAACCTCTACCCCGCGAGCACACCCATCTCTCTTTACAACATTATAACATTTTAATCGAGAAAAGTGCAGAAGGGATATGGCCCAATACTGTTCTGTTTATGTATAACTAAACTCATCATTTTGACCCCACCCATCCTCCACTCATCTCTTTCACCCTACACATCTCTCGGTAAAACTCACTGGAGACGGGTCTAGGGGTGGTGGGAGGCGCTGGAGTGTTCAGCGGATCTATAGTCGTGGTTCTCTGTTGCTGTTGTGGGCGTTGACGGGTTCCAGGACGTCGCCGCTTGACCCCAGGGCGGCTGGCTGGCTTTTGGGTAGTGGTGGTGGTGGGCGGGGTGGTGGATCTGTAGAGACAGTAGGGAAAGGGAGAGTTGTATTGTGCGGACTGACAGTAAAGTTGGGTGCATGGGGGGATTGAACTTGGACCTCTAAAATACGAATCCGTTGTTTTACCAACGAAGGTCCAGGGGAAGATGCAAGGTTGGTACACACGGTGCTCCAGCTGCTAGAGTCACCGGCTCGACCATTAAGGAAGGGGAAACTGCAGGTGACATCACGTCACCTCGCCAGCTTACTCACACCTTGCCGGGGAACCTCTACGGTAACAACTTATAAATAAATCCACAGGAGTTTTGATGAAGGTTCGAACCTGTGCGCTGTGTGCTCCCTGGCGCGCTCTAGTCAGCTGTACCACATGAAATAATTACAACAGGAGCAAGCATGAAATAATTACAACAGGAGCAAGCATGAAATAATTACAACGGGGGCAAGCATGAAATAATTACAACGGGGGCAAGCATGAAATAATTACAACGGGGGCAAGCATGAAATAATTACAACGGGGGCAAGCATGAAATAATTACAACGGGGGCAAGCATGAAATAATTACAATGGGGACAAGCATGAAATAATTACAACGGGGGCAAGCATGAAATAATTACAACGGGGGCAAGCATGACATAATTACAATGGGGACAAGCATGAAATAATTACAACGGGGGCAAGCATGAAATAATTACAACGGGGGCAAGCATGAAATAATTACAACGGGGGCAAGCATGAAATAATTACAACGGGGGCAAGCATGAAATAAGCTGTAACGATGAGACTAACTTTTTGAGAGGGAACTTTCAGAGAGTAATTATTCATACTTGCCGTCCTTGAACTTTCTTCAAGACGTGCCCCAAGTTTTATGCTGATGCTCACATTTAAAAAGAACTGTAGCAAGATTTGATTTTTGTTTAAGTTAAGAAATAGGTTTCACAAAAGATTTAGCAACAAGTACCTCGACAAAGAATTGTTTCTGAACCTATTCTCTACTGGGGAAGGAAGGGGGGGGGGTAATTCCTAGAGTGGGGGTTCTTATCTGGAGTGGGGGTGGGGTCGTACCTGGGGGTGGTGGTAGTCGTGGTAGTCAGGGCAGGCGTCGTGGTGGAGGGTCGTCGGCGATTCTGGAGGCGCGAGGACAGGCTGTTCTGCGAGCGTGTCCTGAAGAGATGAAGACACTATCAGTAAACACAAGAAGAGCTTTACGAATACGTTTCCCCACACAGAAGTGTGTCTCAAGTTCTCATCGTATGGCTTTTACTTACAGAAAATGGGTAATATCCTAGGTGTAAGAAAGAGAGATTAACCTCTCAAAAATGGGTAAAATCCTAGGTGTAAAAGGGAGAGGTTAATTAACATCTCAAAATTCATAATATCTTGAATATGGAAAGAAAATGTTCACCCCCCCCCAAAAAAAAAAGATATGGCGATAAAAAAAAACTGATGAATACGAAGCTATATGAAAAATATTACTTTGCAGCCAAAGAGATCAATGTAGCAACCGGCAGACACACACAAATGAAAATATTAAAGTAGTAGGTTGCTAGAAATCTTCAAGCTGGTTGTCTGTGTGTATATATATAATGAGAGTTTACTTTAAGTCCTGGACAATATCCAGAGGAGTCAAAGTATACTTGCAGCTTGGTCAATAAGCTATTGTGGTGGCCTTAATAATCCTCCAGAGGTTGAGGAGCAGTGTTAACACTCCAGAGGATGATAGACCTCAATAGTACTCCAGATGTTGGTAGCCTTTATTAACCCATCAGAGGTTGATAAGCCTTCAACACAAAATATATATTATGACTCGGTTTACACTGTCGTTAATATGGCGTCATTGGCTAATACCCACGACTTTACTGGACTCGTGTACCTCGTCTTTAGCTGGTTAATTCATGCTGCTTCAATATGTCACCTGGAATATAACGCAATTATCATGCTGCTTCAATATATCACCTGGGATATGACACAATTATCATGCTGGTTCAATATGTTACCATGGGATATGACGCAATTATCATGCTTCTTCAAAATGCCACCTGGTATATGACACAGTTCTGACGCTGCGTTCCTATGTAACCTGGACATGACGCAAGTCTCACGGTGCGTCTGTATGTCACCTGGGATTTGACGCAATTCCCATGCTGCGTCAATATGTCACGTGGTATATGAGAAGCCTGTTCCATTGCATGCATGGCAATGCAACTCTTAATTAAGAATCATGCAAAAGCTGAGCACACATTGCATTATTTCTCAGTCTGTTGGATACATATTTAAGCCTTCATGCACAATTTTTGGAAAATGTGGGATTGTATATGACTTCAAGGATATTATGGACCGAAGGATGGGACAAATATTGTTGAATGGGGATGGAGTTGTGGACTTTAAGGGCTACAAGATGAGAGAGAGAGAGAGAGAGAGAGAGAGAGAGAGAGAGAGAGAGAGAGAGAGAGAGAGAGAGAGAGAGAGAGAGAGAGAGAGAGAGAGAGAGAGTGAGAGTGAGAGTGAGTGTGTCAATGGGGCGTAATCAGGAATGCCAATGAAAACCCAAGACTCTTGGAAAGCTCCGAGTCACAGGTATATAACAATTGTTACAACTTGCCCTTGCGTCTGGGGTCTGTCATTACCACCTTGCCAATATATAAGCCATCAAGCTGGTCTTTTTTTTTAGCAGGAAGCATAACTAGCGAACTGCGAACCCCTGAGCCAACAAGGTGCTGTTAAAAAGGGTGATGTTAGCCTGCAGGTGGCGGTGACGGAGGGGTACCTGTCTCCCAAGCGAACTCTTCTGGAGGTCCCATCCGAACCGCCAACCCTCGCAGCGCCCCGGGTACCGGCCCCAGAGGACTGTGGGAGGAGGGATTGCTCTGGTGTTTGGATCTCTGTAGCCTGGGTACGAGTACGGTCCTGTGTTCTCGAGCGGAATGAGGACTTGAACCTTGTGGGCTGTGAGTCTCTCCTTGTTAAATCATCAGTGGCTTGGACGGCCACAGGGGCCGCTCTGTCCCTTCTGCAATTTTGTGTTATATGTGTGTGTGGCTCTTGTCAAGTGGATGGTGTTTATGGTTAGAACAATTTTCACTCCAAGTGTAACATTTTTTAATAAATATATGATTCCTGAGAGAGACTTTATTGACCACTGAATGACGGCTGCTCATAATATGATTTTCAAAGCAGTACATATGGTCATATTATCAAACATTACATGGTCACTCTCCTTCAGAATTCAGGAATTTACTTATATTTACAGAAATATTTACAGAAATATAGCACAGAGGCTCTGACTGATACCTCTGGGTTCCCTAATCATTTCTTATTGAAAGACACTCTTCTGCATCTTCACTTGTTAATACAAGATTTTAATGAAATGAAACCAACCCTACTTAGCCGTTACTAGGACGCTAGAGTTAAACTATTACTAGTTGTGTCTAGTATACACCGACAGTTTACCTAGAGTAACCCTTGATCCTCATTATTTTTAAGCAATACCAATAATAACACGTTCCGCTAGAATAAATGAGCTAAAATTAGAAAAATGTGTTAATAACATTAGGGTGTTTAATTATTAATTAATATCAGCATATTTATTCTTATCTATGAATTAAAATTATGTGTTAATGTTTCTTCAGTATCAGCATCTAAAAGTCTCCATCTGTAACCCTGAGTGGACACAAACAATTAACAAAATCTCGTCTCAGCATTCTGGTCAATAGAAAGATTGTGAGGAAAATGTGGAATTAGTGTCACGTATAAATCTCTATTACTGAACGTCTTAAAGCCTTCATAATCTTATTATTTTTATCTCGACAAATCTCTAGGTTGCCAACGTCAGCCCCAAACACTGATGTTAATCCCAAAAGTGTATGTTCTGTTTTATTATTATGATTATTAATTTTTTTATATAAATCTCTTCTATCTCCCCTTCCCACTCCGTTCCTCTACGTCCCTTTCCCATTCCATGCCTATCTTGCCTCATCTCTGCTTTAATATATCTTTCCTATCATTCGTTTTATCTGTTTCCAAACATACATTCATCACCTATCCATCCCAACCTCTGTTCAGTGCCTTATTTTCCCTTCTAATGCGTCAATCTTCATTCCCTCATGCCATTCAGGCTGTCGTGGCACCCTAAATGTCCTTATACCTAACTCAGCCGTGGCACTCCAAAAGGTCCCTATTCCTCACCCAGCCGTGGCACTCCAAACGGTCTCTATAACTCACCCTGCCGTGGCACTCTTGATGTCTCTGGCCTCATTGGCGTCCTCGCCGCCGCCGAAGAGCGCCTTCTTGCCGGCCTCCACCAGAGGGTACTGCTCTCCGTTACAGATACCACGGAAGTCGTCGTTGTCCAGACTCCAGTACATTATTCCCCCAAGGTTGTGTTCTCTCACGTACTCCGCCTGGGGAGGGGTGGGGAGGAGTGTTAGTAGTGGTGGTGGTGCTGCTGGTAGCAGGGAAGTGGTGGTGGTAGAGGGGTAGTGGAGTTTTTTTTTTAGTTTTGGTCATGGTGGTAGTGGTTGTGTATCAATGCTGGTGGTGGTTGTGTTAGTTGTGTTAGTAGTCCTTTGTGGCGACATTGATAGTGGTGATGTTGGTACTGCTGTTGGTGGTAGTGTGGAAACAATGGTTTTCGAAGTTGTGACGGTGTTTACCTAACAGTAACTACCGGGAAGGGATCTAAATGGTGGTTTTGGTAGTAGTAATAGTGGTGGTAGCTGTATAATTATAGTGGTGGTGGTAGTACTAGTAATGTTAGTAGTAGTGGTGGTAGTTGTAGTACTCTTGATAGGGGTAGTGGTGTCGACAGTGTAGCTGTGATGGTAGAGCTTACCTAAAGGGAAATGAGATCTAGCTCTTTATGCCCGCCTTGTTGTGGTGGTGGTTGTAATGGTGGTGGTTGTAGTGGTGACTGTGGTAGTAGTGTTGGTGAATAGTCTGTAGCGGTGGTAGTAGGTAGCAACTCTAGGTTTACTCGTCAAAGATTTGCCATTAGGCTAACGCCTGAACTAAAGAAGATGAGCCAAAAGGAACTAGGTACTAAACCTCCCCAAGGAGAGTAAATTGTTAGTGTTCGAGAGAAATTGATTCACGTTTCTCACCTTCCTGGCCACGATCTTCTCGTCATCGTAGCCGACCCACTGGTTCCCAGCGAAGGCGTAGGGGCCGATCCGGCGTGGATAGGGTTTGCGCACTTCCCACCCGTTCGACGCAATATTTTCACAAACCTGTGAAACACCAGTATTTGTTAGCGTTTATTTATCTTTATCCATTGGAAAGGAATAATATATCAAAGTTATACCCCCAGCAGAAACTAAAATTTTTAATGGCCTTAGGTGTGAGACGAAACAGTTAAGCATAGTTAACCATAACAACTTACTTCATAAAAAGCCATAAACCCGTTTTCTCTGGTGTACTTCCCCTGCTCGCCCGGGCCGTCAGCTGAGGCGCCGAAGTCGGTGAAATTGCCGTCAATGAGAGTGAAGGAACGACCGTAGGTCGGGATGCCCATCACCAACTTGTGCTTGTCGGCGCCCAGGGAGATGTAATACTTTACCGTCCAGTCCTGGGAAACACACCAATGGAGAAGACGTGTTATGAGCAGTTAAAAAAAAAAAAGCTTGGAAAATAACGTACCCAAAATGATCAACTCCTTTAACCAAAAAAATTATGCTAGCTTGTTGCGGGGTTACATCCTGGGGAGGGTAAGTAATTCCACCTTGAGGGGGGGACCTCGGTACCAGTGTATATACATTCACAGGCTACCTGTCCCCCAACAACACTATTATTCATATATTCAACACCTAGAGGGAGGTGCTGCCATCTTGTGATTGACAAACTTATCATATAGTTGCCAGCTGTTGTTATCTGGAATAATAGCTTTCACGTCTATCAATATTTATCTGATATAATATAAATAACAATACATGAAATTAAAACCCTCACTGTAAATAATGGCAGGCATTGGTACATTCACTACCATTCTAAATGACCTATTCAACCATTAATGTAAAATCAGAACAGTTGTAACAAATATTGACCAATTTACTCACCAAAAACGAGCCAATTACTCACCAACCACTAACCATTTACTCAACAACGAGCCAATTACTCACCACATTGAGTTCGGCGTTCCAGGCGTACTCTGAGGTGCCTGGGGCGGGGAGGAGGGAGGCGTGGTGGTTGACGCTGGGTTCATATGCGCTGTGGTAATCGTAGTTCAGTATGTTGAAGAAGTCCAGGTCCCTGTGGACGGGGGCAGGAGGGGTTAGTTGCTGTGGCAGGAGGAGGACGGAGGACGAGGGAGACAGGGAGGACGGGGAAGACGAGGAGGGCGGGGAGGACGACGAGGAGGCTTTGTATTTCGTAATGAAGAAGGGTATAAGAGGCACACTAAGCTATCCGGCGAAGGACGAAGGGTACAGTACCTAGAGAAAAGTGTGAAGGTACAACAGTACCTAGAGAGAGTGTGTGAGGGTGCAACAGTACCTGGTAAGAGATGGAACGTCGTAGCCCTTGTCGATGTAGTTCTTGCCTGCAGGTACGGCCATGGTCAGCAGCAGGGGACCCTTCTTCACCTTGCTTCCCTCGTCGTCGAAGGCTTCGCGAAGCTCCTGTGGAAGGAGGCACTAGTTGAATAACTGGACAGTGACTGGAGGTGGTGTTAGGCACCAGGATGGTGACTTGGGAAGGTGTTAGGCACCAGGATGGTGACTTGGGAAGGTGTTAGGCACCAGGATGGTGACTTGGGAAGGTGTTAGGTACAGACTCTTTGGTTTGACAACATAGCTTTCATCCCAAGTTGACGCTAGTCTGTCTCCTATTCTCTGATTAGAAGAGGTGCTTAATAAGGCACTCAGATGCTCTCCTGGGTTGTCAGAGTATACAGGTCTCCTATTACGGAATATCAGTGTTGGGAAGGTGTGAGAGAGGGAGAAATGTTATGACCATTGTAGCCAGAGTTGCGAAACACCCCTGTGGCAACCTGGCCACAGGTCTATTACTGTGGCGGGAGGAGGTGGAGATGTAGGAGGTGGAAGAGAAGGAGGAGGAAGAGGTGGAGGAGGTGGAAGAGAAGCAGGAGGAGGTGGTAAGGACAGGAGTGGAGCCAGCCATCCTGGCCTTACTGACAGCTCAGTTGGACCCGTCAATCAGGGTCCACTAACTGCACGAACGTTCCCAGATATGGAGGTGCCCACCCAGTCACGTATGAACCCTACCCAACCACGAAAGCCCTCCATACCCCCAGACCCAAGCACGAAAGACCCCCTCCCCCCAGAGACACTGAAAAACATTAGCACTAGACGAGTTTTAATCACCTAAAATCGGTGGTTACTCACGTCTATTAATAACCGTCGCCTCTCAAGCGTACACAATGCTTTCCGGCTCTCCCTCAAGCGCCTCTACTTTGAGAGAGACTGTCTCTGATATATCTGAGAATTAAACGCCCAACCCACAAATATTGCATCATCCTCAACATCATTACACGACTTGATAATGATCCAGCAGAGCCGAAACGTCATCATTACTTCGATTTTAATAGTTGTGAGCTGGGTGTGTATTTTTTGAGCAGCTTTAATATGACTTACTGTCTGCATATCTGAGAATGATGAGAGTTCCTCTCAGGTGTGAAGGATACGTTGACAATACGTACGTCGATGTATCTGGGTAGAAAGGTGATACAACTGAGGAGAAAGTGACCCCTTCCTCCTCTGACTCTTGCAGGAATTAGGTAGTATAAACATTCACTGCAACTCTGATGGCAAGTGTAGCCTGGCCGGGATGCGACCGGCGTGCCAGGTAAACAGGCTGGCAAATCATGCTCCAGTAACCTTTACTCGAAGTCTTAAAACGTTGGTTCATCGTTACATTTGTTACATCAAAGGCATTGGCTCAGATTTGCCTGGAGGAGGAGGGAAAGGGGGTTTAAGGTAAGCGTACTCTCTTAGATGCCGTGAAATTTGTTCGTCTGTTGTTTTCAAGAATGTTTCGAGACTTGAGCACCACTTGGAGAGGCAGACGTGCCACCTGAGTTGGTTCCGGCAGCGGCGCTTCTCTCGCACACGTCAAGAGCAAGAAGGGTGGTGGGTACGCCGTGAAAGGCAAGGCGAGAGTTGGCAGTGAAAGTGAACCTTCTTGTGGTACAACTTGGACTGGCCGGCTACTGCCACAACCCTCCTTCTGCCAGTACTAAACGGGGGTGAGAATAGCTTGAGCTACCTCATCCGTGTGTATTTATACCTCAGTAAACTGATTTCAATTTCAATTCACTTTCCTTCTTGCAGGTGAGCGTTCGATCCCTCCAATGGTTCAAGTGGTTGGGCAACCATTCATTCATTTCGTCCTTCTATTCCAGCTCCTTTTCTGTCCTCGTATCCCTTCCATGGACTTCATAGTCAAACCGGCTTAGCACATTCCCGCTGATAATTTTCTTTTCCTTCCGAGCGGAAAACTGCACTCACTCAGGTCGATTGCCGCTTGGGACCTGGAGCCGAGGTCAGTAGAATATATATTTTGTGTAAATTACTTTATTGTTATTGTCAGAATTGAATATTGATTAATCATTTACAGGAAAATGTCGTCAAATTTATTGATCGTCTTACACATAAATACATGTCCAACTGGCATCCCTGAACATGGACTCGGAATTTGAATGCAGTTTTCCACCACATGATGGACATTACAAAGTTATGATATTAGAATTTTGACAAGTTAAGCTTCCTCATTCCCGGCACGTGTTCATAACATGACAGGTGTTCATAACATGACAGGTGTTCATAATATGACAGGTGTTCATAACATGACAGGTGTTCATAACGTGATAGGTGTTTGTACATGCGTTTGTGTGACGGAGCCCACAGTTTGTTCAACTAGTGTTCTCTAGTATACAATGCGAAATAGTTTAACGTAGTTTCATATGACAATTCGTAGCAGAAAGAGTTCTTGAAGTAACTTTTGTAGAGATCGGTTGATATATTTTTGAGTCATTTGCATACAGTTCTGCAAAGCTCAGAGACAAATATAGTGGATTTTTTTTTTAAGTAGAGATTGCCTCTTGTATTTTTGTATGTTGGAAAATAGAATCACACTTCCCACGCACAGAGATAATACGCACACGCTACCTACGCACACTGGTAATACGCACAATTACTGAAGATATGCTCCCTACGCACATGGGCTTTACGCGCACACACACAGACACACACACACACACACACACACACTACGTACACGAGCCTTGCAATCGTATGAGTCTGATTTCAGAAATTATTAGGTCATGACGGAGTTTCTTGGCATAACGAGTGAGCGAGAGAGAGACAGAGACAGAGACAGAGAGACAGAGAGACAGAGAGACAGAGAGACAGAGAGAGAGAGAGAGAGAGAGAGAGAGAGAGAGAGAGAGAGAGAGAGATGGAGAGAGAGAGAGAAAGACCGAGAGACAAATAGAGACACACAGAGAGGCAGAGATACAGAAGGCACCCAACAACCCTGCAGCAGGCAGCATGCTCCAATCAAGACACTCAAGACTTCTAATCACCATGTCTTGGCACTTAAAATTCACCACGTAGGTCAGAGGTGAACTTCAGGTTACATGCTATATAATATATATATATATATATATTCATGCGTTCTTATGCTACTCTATTGACTCTTAAATCCGCTCAAGAAAAAGTTTTAAGTGGCTCAAAGCTGTGTGTGTGTGACGTACAAGTTTCTCCCTAATGTTTATAACGGAAGTCCAAGTGCAAGTAACGGCAGGTGGGCCAAGGAGAATTGGTCATGTCCGGCGGGAGAGGTGGAGGAGGCCAAGGAGACGGAAATGGGTGGAGGAGGCCGAGGAGACGGAAATGGGTGGAGGAGGCCGAGGAGACGGAAATGGGTGGAGGAGACGGGGCTGGGCGTCGACAGAGTGGAGACGGGTGTAGGCCACTTGAATAGGAGATGGTGGAGAGACTTCGCCATAGTGCAATAGGAGATACATATGAATGTAGACGAGGGCATAGCATCTTGGGGAGAGAACGGGGGACGAGGAAGATCACGAAGATTGATTACAAAGAAGCATCACCATTTCCCCAAACCACACACCCTCCCTCTACCACATTCCCAGACAGAGAGACCGAGACAGAGACAGATAGAGAGAGAGAGAGATCGAGAGACAGAGTCAGAGAGAGAGAGAGAGAGACTTGACCACCTTCTTAGGACCCCCCCACACGAGGCCTTTACAGTCAACCATCAGCCTTGTGGGCTGTACCGGGACGCTAGCAAGAACTGTAACAGGTCCAGCCGGATATACAAGGCCACCTGCAGCTACTTGATGGCGAGTGAAGTAGGGGGGAAACTTAAAAATTATCGGATATTAAATATTTGTTAACGAAATTTTGCGTTTTATCTACAAGGGATCGTTTGGGTAAGATCCTTTGAGTCAGCTGATCAGGAATTTTGCCGCGCTTATTTTTAATTGTAGGATATTTGTTTGGGTTAAACATTATTCCTATGACCTTTGTCGTGGTAAATGTTATTCCTAGGATGCTTGACGCGCCAGAGTTACTTCATTCGTAATGGAAATCTTGGCTTAAAATCAAAGAGAAAGTAATGGTGACCAGAAGTTGGTAAACAACCTGGAGAAAAGCATGAATGGGTGACCCCAAGATGAATGGGTCTTTCACGCATGATTTGACGCAATATCCCTCTTACACGCTTGATTTAACGCAATATCCCTCTTACACGCATGATTTAACGCAATATCCCTCTTACACGCATGATTTGACGCAATATCCCTCTTTCACGCATGATTTGACGCAATATCCCTATTACACGCATGATTTGACGCAATATCCCTTTTAGACGCATGATTTGACGCAATATCCCTCTTATACGCATGACGCAATATCCCTCCCATACACACACATGACGCAAAAACCCTCCCATACATACACACATGACGCAAAAACCCTCCCATACACACACACACATGACGCAAAAACCCTCCATACACACACACATGACGCAAAAACCCTCCCATACACACACACATGACGAAAAAACCCTCCTATACACACACACATGACGCAAAACCCCTCCCATAGACATGACGCAACCAATATATAGGCCACTCTTGACGACTTCACACGTATTTCAAGAAAGATCCACATTTCGGATTGCCTACATATATTTATTAATTACCACACTACTTAAGCCTAAACACCACCCTGTTATGACGTCATCACACACACTAGGAGCCTACTGGGCAAGACATTATCCCCTCGTTACGTCATAAGTCAACTTCCAGTTGACCTTAATTGACCTCGTGACGTCACATCCTGTACCTGTTGACCTTATACATGTCGTGATGAAGGATGGAAGGTTATAGGTTATTATCAATCACTTCTAAGTTATTTAATGTTATATTATTATGTTTTATTTTGTGATTTATTAATTAACAATATTTAGAATGATCTTGTGTTGCTATAGTTATCATCTTTCTCCTTCAAGGTTATCAGTTATCATGGGTGATCACCTCAACATTCATCTGCATTATTCACACGTAGCTAAATGTTACGTTGAATATAGATTTTGCGGACATTATAAATCTATCTAGTTTATATATATATAT